GGTGGCCGATACCGGACGAAAAAAAAAAAATCTGACATTGAGTAACTCCTCCTAGGCAGTAGGGGGCGCTATACTGCAACAGTTTGACACATCTGCATCAGAAAGTAAATTTTTTTGTCGTGTTCAATGACGTTTTATATATCAAAAGTACTCGTGGTATCAATGAGTTCACAAAGTCTGAATACTCATACTTGTATCGGTCTGGGAAAAAAAAGTGGTATCAAGCATCCCTGACTAAAATTGCAAAAAAAAATTGCAAAAAAAATAAATAAAAAGCTCCTTAACGGAATGAAATGAAAACCAAAATGTTTTTTAAAACAATTAAAACTAACTGAAACGACATTTAAATTTTTTAAAACGAACTAAAACAAGCTATGATTAAAGAGCATATGTACTTCATTTTCGAAAACAAGCTATGATTAAAGCGCATATGTACTTCATTTTCGTCTTTGTCAGTTAATATCACACAAGAGCGTTGGGGTTGATTTTTTAAAAATATTTTGGTACTGCTGTTTATAGACTATACACACACACACACACACACACACACACACACACACACACACACACACACACACACACACATTTTTATTCATTCTCATTTTAAACTGTATCCCTAAAATGCCCGCTTAAAAGCACACATTCGGTGTCTATGTGAGGACGAGGCAAAAACTATGGAACGGTTCCCAGTAAGGTTGCAGTGTCACGCTCAGTGAAAAATGCCAAAAGACGAATATTTTCTTGACATCTTCACACAGACCCGCAGCTCATGGGCTCCACAAAGAGTGACAAGAACATCCATCACCACAAATCAAAGGAAGGTGTGTCCGCTGCTCCCGCTTCTGCTACTTGGAAATGCCAACAGAAGGTGTTTACTCTTGAAACCATGGTGACGTACACACACACACACACACACACACACACACACACACACACACACACACACACACACACACAGTACATAACATTGCAGCGTGTGCAAGGATTATGTAAGAGCCTGTGCATCCATTCTGCAGCTCCTGCAGAAAGCTTGCTTTTCATAGTTGACCCTTCTTGTGCATTTAACTGCAATTACAGCATCGAGTTGTGTCTTCAAACTTTTTTTACCCCCCCCAACAACCTCCTCATAATCCTCACATCAATCAAATAGAACGACAGTACTATGTGTACCCCAAAGTGCCACAGAAGTTAAACAGCTGCGCATTTTCGAGCAAATAGTCGAAATGTTATTGACCGTGCATGATTAAAATGTCGCCTTGAGAGGAGGGCAGCATGTAATCAACCCTTACATGCACCCTGTAACCTGAAAGCATGATAAGCTGTCCACTGTAGGAACTGCTGTCCCTGAAAGGGTTAAAATGAATTTGCATAATTTTGATCTCTTCAAGCATTACATGAGAAACTTTGCAAGCATCCATGAAAATGTTTTTTTTTCTGTCACGAGTCATTTTATGTTGGCCCTAATTAAGTCTGTATTAAATTATTGTTATTTTGATCTTTTTGGATAAAAAATCAGCATGTAATGTATTGTATATAGTGGTTTTTTTTTTTATTGCTATATGTCATTTCAGTCACATAAGTGAATTATTTTTAGTGGGATAAATTCAATTAAATGACAGCAAAAAATAATTCATGATTCATATGCAACTTTTTTTCCCCACTATCAATGATTTTCACAAAACAAATTCAAAAAAGGTAAAAATTAATCTAAAGCCTTTTTTTTTCTTGTTGATAAACTTATTTGGTGTCTTGCCTGGTCGCAATTAATTTTGCTGCCTGCTGCACATTCACATTTTTGGGTGATGGGGGGTGGGAGGTGGATGCCCACCCCAGCCTTTGCACGCCCGCTGCCTTTTATATTCACATCAAAAATGGTCTCGCTCTGTCTCAGCTGACCCGCTACTTTTGGATTTTGGAATCTTCGAGGGCATTTTCCTGAACTACTCAACAACATCTCAGTGCACGTCAGTCCGACGCGCACACGATCTTTTTTTGTTTCTCAACGTGCCTCAAAACCTCATTTTATTCCTTTACTTTAGTGTCTTATTCGTTTCTATTGTTTTAAATTTAGGACTGTTTTCGTGTCTCTAAATTATGCGGGGCGTCAACATTTCATTTATTTGAAAATAATTCTCTCCTTTTTTGACAGTTTTTTTAGTTCGCGGTTCGTACAGTGAACAGGTTTACCTGAGCATCCTGGTACAGACAACTACATTTCCCAACATGCATTGCGGTGACGTCACCGCGTCCTTCTCAGCACTCGTCCCCGCCCACTCCGGTTCGCTGGCTGCCTCTCGCTCGGGGATGTGTGCAAGTGTGGATGTGGGGTCAGTGTATGTTTACGTTGGAAGGCTCACAACAAAGGAGAGCCTGTCATTCAAACCCGAGCCTCCACTCACAGTCACTGGATATTCTCCTCCTCGGCGGACGCACTCCTCAATTAACCCTCCTTGAAGCTTCATTTGGACAATTTTCACCTTTATTCATGATACAACATTTGTACCTCCCGTCTTCATCATCTTCTTCTTCACGTGCCGGGTGAGCTAACCTGCTAAGTTGGCATCGGCGGCGGCGGCTGTGGTGATTGGTGGTGGAGAAGTCCAGACCGGCGACGGTGGAGCTCGGCCCGGCGGCAGTCAGTTAGAGACGCTGGAAATAAAGACGTCATTGAACCCACGGTGAGTCCTTCACACGCTCGCCACTCTCTACTTAGCATCAGTAAGCGGGTTTTAGGCTCCTTTAGAGGCAGCTAACAGTCGTTATATTGCCACAGAGAAAGGGCTAGCTTGTTTTTTTAGTGGTGGTCCCAGTTGTGAGTTACGACCGGGGGATAGCGGGAGTGGGGGGGTGGGGGGGGGTAGGGTGTCTTTCTTTGTGCTCATTTCCTACTTGATTAAATGTGTCAATTCGACCACCTTAGATTTATGCATCGCCTTTGTATGTGCCCCCGGGTTGTGTTACTTTCCATCACTTGCTCTTTTCAGTGTGCATGCTGACCTGTCACCAGCAGCCCAGGCTGCACAGGCAACAACATTGCCTGATAAGGAAGACAGCAAGAGAGAGAGAGCTGTGTGCGTACGTGTGTGTGTGTGTGTGTGTGTGTGTGTCATTGCAGCGTGTGCAAGGATTATGTAAGAGCCTGTGCATCCATTCTGCAGCTCCTGCAGAAAGCTTGCTTTTCATAGTTGACCCTTCTTGTGCATTTAACTGCAATTACAGCATCGAGTTGTGTCTTCAAACTTTTTTTACCCCCCCCAACAACCTCCTCATAATCCTCACATCAATCAAATAGAACGACAGTACTATGTGTACCCCAAAGTGCCACAGAAGTTAAACAGCTGCGCATTTTCGAGCAAATAGTCGAAATGTTATTGACCGTGCATGATTAAAATGTCGCCTTGAGAGGAGGGCAGCATGTAATCAACCCTTACATGCACCCTGTAACCTGAAAGCATGATAAGCTGTCCACTGTAGGAACTGCTGTCCCTGAAAGGGTTAAAATGAATTTGCATAATTTTGATCTCTTCAAGCATTACATGAGAAACTTTGCAAGCATCCATGAAAATGTTTTTTTTTCTGTCACGAGTCATTTTATGTTGGCCCTAATTAAGTCTGTATTAAATTATTGTTATTTTGATCTTTTTGGATAAAAAATCAGCATGTATTGTATTGTATTTTGTGGTTTTTTTTATTGCTATATGTCATTTCAGTCACATAAGTGAATTATTTTTAGTGGGATAAATTCAATTAAATGACAGCAAAAAATAATTCATGATTCATATGCAACTTTTTTTCCCCACTATCAATGATTTTCACAAAACAAATTCAAAAAAGGTAAAAATTAATCTAAAGCCTTTTTTTTTCTTGTTAATAAACTTATTTGGGGTCTTGCCTGTTCGCAATTAATTTTGCTGCCTGCTGCACATCCACATTTTTGGGTGATGGGGGGTGGGAGGTGGATGCCCACCCCAGCCTTTGCACGCCCGCTGCCTTTTATATTCACATCAAAAATGGTCTCGCTCTGTCTCAGCTGACCCGCTACTTTTGGATTTTGGAATCTTCGAGGGCATTTTCCTGAACTACTCAACAACATCTCAGTGCACGTCAGTCCGACGCGCACACGATCTTTTTTTGTTTCTCAACGTGCCTCAAAACCTCATTTTATTCCTTTACTTTAGTGTCTTATTCGTTTCTATTGTTTTAAATTTAGGACTGTTTTCGTGTCTCTAAATTATGCGGGGCGTCAGCATTTCATTTATTTGAAAAATAATTCTCTCCTTTTTTGACAGTTTTTTTAGTTCGCGGTTCGTACAGTGAACAGGTTTACCTCCGCATCCTGGTACAGACAACTACGTTTCCCAGCATGCCTTGCGGTGACGTCACCGCGTCCTTCTCAGCACTCGTCCCCGCCCACTCCGG